GCAAAGTAGCATGTTAACTGTCACTGCCAGGTTTTTGCTAGCACAAGTTAATGGTTTTCTTAATGGTGAGATCTTTACTTTTCTACCCTGCCTCTCCATTGACTGATTTTTAGAGAGAGGGAGAAACATCTATGTGAGAGTGAAACACTGATCAGCTGCCTCCTGCACAAGGAATCCAACCAGCAACCAACCGAGCCTAAGGGCCAGGGCAAAAAATTCTTCTTCACTTTAAAATATTCATGCTGGCACACTATAGTGCACACACAATATAGATTCTTTTTCTGCTTCAAGCTTAAAAAGTCTTGAGAATCTCTTAAAAGTATATAGAAAACTTCTGGTCTACTACTAGGAAGCACTTCCAAATTACTAGCAAAGTTTTATTTTATATCACCTCTAGTTCACTTACAAAAACAGGTTTTGATGATAAAAGTACCAGTGTTTTAAAATATTTTCTACTTACAGTGAACAATATTCATTCAAAATACTTATGGAACACCTACTACATACCCCAGACTGTTACAGGGGTTAGGAATAAGAACACAGTGGTAAGAAAATCTGCTTACTAAAAATATTGGTTGTAATTTGCTATATATTGATGATTCAGAGTCATCAATCATTACAAATACTACTACAGGGTGTCCCAAAGAAATGTATACACACTTTAACAGCTGATAGCTCAATTTTGAAAATGAAATGTATTTTAACAAACACTGCCTATATAATTATTTAAAAGCGTGTGTATACATTCAAGTGTGTATACACATTTTTTCTGGACACCATATATATATATTTAGGCAGGACTGACCAGAATCTATACAGATCTTAGAGCAGACCAAGGAAATTTGTTTTTGAAATAATTTCTATTGCTTTAACTAATTTAAGGCACACACACACACACACACACACACACACACAATAGGATGTCTATGGTTCCCAACGTTTCCAGTGTTTGAATACATTCCATACACATACATTCCATCCACTTTGAACATTAAGTTCCCTGTCGTAATACTTATACTCTACACTTTAATTTTGTAGCAAGATGTAGCGATTCACCGCATGGAAAATGACCGGGAAACCGTCCCTTTTCTCTAGAGAAAAGATCACTAAGAAATGAAAGCATTTAAAATCAATATACTAAGTAATTCTAAAATGCGCTTCTCGGAACTCTAATAAATGTCCTATGATTGATTCCTCTTCAACCAAGAAAAGCAGCAGGCAGAGAAAATGAAGCTTACACTTCTCTGTCACTCTAGAAATACCATCATTTCTTCATAACTGCATATAAAAAATTGTTACCTGTAAGAGACCAGAGAACCTTGATGCCCAATTCAGATGCAAGACAAAAACCACCGCCCTAGGCAGAAAAATGGGGCAATCCTTCCTAACACTCATTCGGGTGTGTGTGTTTGTTTCTGGCTTTTATTTGTGTTTATAACCGTTTCGGCGTTCCCGAAGCCTGGCAGGGACAGATTACTCTGCAGAGAACACTCAGGTGCTACACAGTAGCGGCCCTGCCAGCCCCGCCCGCACGCGGGTGCAGAGCGGATCCCGCAGCCCCTCTGCACAGCG